ATTCCCATTTGTAAAATAGCCAACAAATTAATTGTTGTAGGCTAACCCGATCTCATGAAAGTGCATATAGCACGATTTTCTGCTTCTATTTGGCATAATATTTCTACGCAGAAATTGACTTTGGCATGCAAAAGACTGATAAATTCATAATTAACGGCATGGGTTCAGTCGACAGAAATACGGGAGACACAGGCCTATAATAACTGCTGAAATGTTTGCGGGGCAAATCTCAGGTCAGTCTGAGCGCTCACGGTACTCACAGTGCGTACAGCCGTACAACTGCAGGCGCCACTGACTTGGACGGTTGTCGTGGTAATAAACACCGTAAACAGCAAACGTCCGCGTGTCCGTGCTTAATGCAACATATCCTATATGAAAAGCATTTTAGGGGGCCCTTGGCTTTTGGGGGCCCAAGGCGGTCGCCTACCTTTGCCTAATGAGTAAGTCCGCCCCTGCATTCAGACAAGTCAACCATATAACTAAATGTAGATTTTAAATACAATGTTTATTAACTGTGTTCAATGGCAGGGGTATTTATGCACTGTAAAAAAATTCTGTAGTTTTTACAAAATAATTTTGGCAGCTGTAGTTGCCAGAATAATTTAGTAAAAAATACAGAAAAACTGTATACGGCCAAAAACTGTACAGTATAAAACTGTAATTTAAATACAAGAAAATTTGAATGTAAACCAGTAAATTCAACAATGCACACTGCTATTAAAATCTGTTTTGTATCTTTAACATACTGCCAACCACCATAATAATGCAGGTGGTAAAAGAGAAAGCCACATGAAGAATCAAAGCTCATCACAAGTAGCTTCGCCACAAGCAGAAGTATATACTAATATATAGAAGGTGCACCAGTCATTCATGCAAACACTAAGCACCATCATGGTAACACACGATACTTAAATAATGCATTCAACTTTCATTAAACAACAAGATGTAACATAAAGCCCAAATATACATAACTAATAACAAAAACTATTAAAAAAAACATGATTATTTAAACAAAATACTTTCAAATGTGGAGTGTCATGCAGGGAATTCTGGGAATATCAGTTTACAGTTCTTGACTGTAAATTATACATTGATTTGTTATTTTTACTTCTAAAAACTCAAATTAACAGCATTTTACTGTAAAATGACATGGTTAGATATTTTACAGTTTTTCCCTGTATATAGTACGGGAACTTACTGTTAACCTATTAACAGTTTTTTCCCGTAGCGTTTTTACAAAATGTTACAGTTAAAATTACACTTATATTTTACAGTGTGTGTCAAACTGAGGCAAGTTGTCACACGTGGGTTTTGCATGCGTTTATTATTTCCAACATCTCACGATGATATTTGGTGCTTCGTAATTGTTAATAATTTCTTAATGGCAGGTTTCACTATGGTAGCTTCCTTCACTGAGACGTGTTATTTATCAAAAGCACCTAGCAACAAATTTAGCAATTTGAAACATCTATTTAGCAACTTTTGATAAGGACTCAGACAATAAAAAGGCACACATTGTCCATCCAAATGACACAAAAAGAGGAAACCACAGACGCCTAGCAGTACACGCATCACAAGAATTGAGTTAGCTGCTATTTGCAATTGTTCAATTTAATAATAATAATTGAATAATTTGACAATTGAATAATTGTTCATTTATGAGACACTTTGTTAGTAGCTTGTACCTGCGATTGTTGTACTGTAAGAAAAATGCAAAATCTTTCAGGACATTATCCATCATCCTTTGTAACCCTGTAACCCGAAAACACAACGCGTAATTTAAAATACAGGTAAAAAAAACATTACGGAAAATACTTTCATATTAACAGTAGATTGTGCCTTATTTTTACAGACTTTTCTTAGAGTGTAGCATACTAACTAACTACTAATACACCGCTTAAAGCATACTTGTTGAGTGTGTAGAGTTCACTAGCTACTAAAAACACTTAAATTGTAACGTGTACGTTTTCAATAATTCAATGTATTTAAAAAATACAGTTATTTATATTTTAATATTGTATCATGCATATTTTGAAAACAAATCTAAATGAACATATATAAAATATATTTTTTGCTGAGCATTGACATCACAACGTCATTTAGCAACAAATCGACCTTCCTTTAGCAACTTTCTCTGAAAATGAGTTGGCAACACTGGCTGTTTGTGTCTGGAGCTGGAGGAGACGAAGAGTTGCATTGCCTAAGGGGAAGAAATTCTCCTTTTCATTACACGCGGGTAATGCATTTAGCTCGTTGTTAGTTAGCGGTTCGAAGATCTGTACTCAACACAAGCGAGTCAACGGTGTACTGTTTAACATACAAACATCACTAACTTCACAGCGATCTGTGAAGATGCCAGACATGTTGATCACCATGTAACTGATATGTTGACCAAAACAAATACGGTGCGAAAATGATTTGTAGAGATTTATTCTTGTTACTTAAATTAAGAGTTATTATAGTTTGTTTTGTTATTTGAAAAAAAACCCCGCTACACTGGAGGAGCTGGAGGAGCTGGAGAGTTGCATTGCCTAAGGGGAAGAAATTCTCCTTTTCATTACACGCGGATAATGCATTTAGCTCGTTGTTAGTTAGCGGTTCGAAGATCTGTACTCAACACAAGCGAGTCAACGGTGTACTGTTTAACATACAAACATCACTAACTTCACAGCGATCTGTGAAGATGCCAGACATGTTGATCACCATGTAACTGATATGTTGACCAAAACAAATACGGTGCGAAAATGATTTGTAGAGATTTATTCTTGTTACTTAAATTAAGAGTTATTATAGTTTGTTTTGTTATTTGAAAAAAAACCCCGCTACATTAAATATAATATTCATATTCATATACAGAAACTGACACAAGCTTGAGTCAAATATTAGCGATCGGTCGAACCGGTTCAAAAAATGGATCGTTCTAAAGCTTCTCGTTCTTTCTGCGGAACGTTCACCACTTAATTACACGACAGTGTTATAGAACACGCATCTTATTTTAATAAATAATTGTAGTATTGTTTAATGTAAATTCATTTTATATTTCGGTTCTAAAGTACCTTTATGTTTTATAAGCTGATTTCATGCTGGATCTGTCTGGGACACATGCAATTACGTCTTGTATTAATAGAACTTCAAAAGTTTGTGGAGATTTTAGAGCATGTAACATTTCAAGGACCACATGACGCATTTACGTCATGACGATGAAAAAAAACCCCGCTACATTAAATATAATATTCATATTCATATACAGAAACTGACACAAGCTTGAGTCAAATATTAGCGATCGGTTCAAAAAATGGATCGTTCTAAAGCTTCTCGTTCTTTCTGCGGAACGTTCACCACTTAATTACACGACAGTGTTATAGAACACGCATCTTATTTTAATAAATAATTGTAGTATTGTTTAATGTAAATTCATTTTATATTTCGGTTCTAAAGTACCTTTATGTTTTATAAGCTGATTTCATGCTGGATCTGTCTGGGACACATGCAATTACGTCTTGTATTAATAGAACTTCAAAAGTTTGTGGAGATTTTAGAGCATGTAACATTTCAAGGACCACATGACGCATTTACGTCATGACGCCAAAAAAAAAAAAAAGCCGAAAACGTTCCTTTTTTGTGTGTGTACCGGATCTCTTAAATGAACTGTTCGAAGGAACCGATTCGCAAAATGAGTCACTAGCGAGGCTTCCGGTTTCTTGACAGAGGATTACGTCGCGCCTCAACTATCCAACCACGGCGCTCAACGAAGACCTCGTTATTTTGACGACTTGTTTGTTTTCCTCTCGAGGTAACTGCGGACTAAGAGCGACATTCCGCTCCTTTTCTACCTCAGCAGCTGAAGAGCTACATCACAGGTAATGTGCTAATCGTATGTATTTGTCAGAAAGCAAAAAAAAAAAAAAAAGCCGAAAACGTTCCTTTTTTGTGTGTGTACCGGATCTCTTAAATGAACTGTTCGAAGGAACCGATTCGCAAAATGAGTCACTAGCGAGGCTTCCGGTTTCTTGACCGAGGATGACGTCGCGCCTCAACTATCCAACCACGGCGCTCAACGAAGACCTCGTTATTTTGACGACTTGTTTGTTTTCCTCTCGAGGTAACTGCGGACTAAGAGCGACATTCCGCTCCTTTTCTACCTCAGCAGCTGAAGAGCTACATCACAGGTAATGTGCTAATCGTATGTATTTGTAATGTCTTTTGGTTCCGTAAGTCTCTAAACATCACTGCACTTTGTTTGGACTGACGTTAATCACCAGGAACCATAACACCTCTGTTTTCCTAAGAATTCCACCTGGGCTGTTTGCGTGAGAACGCTATGTCAGTGTCATTCCTGATGGTTCCTCGCTGCTGTTTTTCCAGTGATGTCGGATGGGCTTGTGCTCGGCGGTGGTGGGAACCTCAGCTCTCTCTGCCCGCACGGGATCGAGTGGATCTGGTATGGACTGGGTGAATGTGCCCAGGATGGCAGAGACATCGCCAGTGTTGTTCTCGGACTGCTGTCGATAGTTTGCTTCATGGTGTCTTCACTGCCGTAAGTAGGCCTACTGTTGTGCTGTTGCACTGTGTATGGCTTAGTTTTGTCATGATATAAAATGTATTCAGGCACAGCAATCATTTTTAACATTTCTTATAAACATTCAAGATTTTTTTTAACGAAAGTAATACTTTTATTCAGCAATGATGCATTAAAATGACCAAAAGAGACAGTAAAAACATGAATGATGTTTAAAAAAAATCTATTTGAAATAAACGATGTTCTTTTGAACTTTATGTTCAATAAAGAATCCTGAAAAATGCATCTCGGTTTACACAAAAATATTAAACCGTACAAATGTTTTCAACATTAAGAAATGTTATTAGTTAAAGGGGTCATATGATGCGATTTCAAGTTTTCCTTTCTCTTTGGAGTGTTACAAGCTGATTGTGCATAGATAAGATCCCTGAAGTTGCAAAGACTGAAGTCTCAAAACCAAAGAGATATTCTTTATCAAATTTAAGACTCTGCCTCGCCCCCCTAAAACGGCTCGTTCTAACACGCCCCCACATATCTACCTCACTATGTGGAAATATTTGCATAATGCGCCCAAATGTGCACGCAAAGAAAGAAGGCGTAGTTTCAGTAACACAGTTAGTGTTGAAGAAGCATGTCAGGGAGACGCTGTGTGTTTCTAGGCGAAAGCAAAAGCACTTTATTTGGCCTTCCGAAAGTAGATTGATTTAGGAATCTTTAAGATTACTTACAAGTACTTACGAGTGCTTGCGGTGTTCGGCCAATCACAATGCACTGGGTCAGCTGGCCAATCAGAGCAGACTGCGCTTGTCGGAAGGAGGGACTTTGTAGAAAACTAAGCGTTTGAGAGAGGCGGGGCATAGAGAACCTACAATAATGTACAGTATTTGAAAAATAATGTGTTTTTTGAACATTAAAGCATGTCAACATATTCTGTTACACCAAAAACACAAAATAATGATCTTTAAAAAAGCATCATATGACCCCTTTAATAGTATATTAGAATGATTTCTGAAGGATCATGTGACACTGAAGACTTTTCATCTCAGAAGACTCTTTGCATCACAGAAATAAATTAAAATATGAATATATATATAATAAATATAAAATCACATGTAACACTCATTTTAAAATCTAATAATATTTTGCATAATTTTTTATTTTTGCTGTGTTTTGGATCAAATAAATGCAGCCTTGGTGAGCATTAGAGGCTAATTTTAAAACATTTTAAAAAACATTACTGGCACCCAAACTTTTGAACTGTAATTTAAATGTGTAGAGTGACACATTTTGCACATGATGAGAAATGATGAGCTCATACTGACTGTTACTGTAGGCAGTACTACAGTTCCTGCAAGACAGGAAATATGGACAGCGCACTATCGATTTGGTTCCTGTTATTTTGGCTGGCCGGTGACTCGTGCAATCTTATTGGATCGTTCTTGGCTGATCAACTTCCACTACAGGTAAGGAACAATTGTCACATTCTTTATTTATCACTTTAGATAAAATATCTGCTCAATTAATGAAAATGAACCCTAATTGATCTTTTTTTTTTTTAATTAAATGATCTTAGTTTTGCTGTAGTTTGAACTGAGGCCTGATTTTATTATTATTATTTTATATTCATCACTCTCGTTTCTCCTTTAGAAATACACTGCAGTGTACTACGTCCTGGCAGACCTGTTAATGCTGTCAATGTACTTTTACTATAAGCTAAAGAATAAGTCATCGAGAGGTGAGTTGGAAATTATACTTCACTAGTGACTTAAATGTGTCATAAGGATAGGATCTATGTAATTGGTTGCTCTTAAAGGGGTCATATGATGCAATTAAAATTTTTCCTTTCTCTTTGGAGTGTTACAAGCTCTTGGTATCTTGGATCTGTAAAGTTGCAAAGACTAAAGTCTCAAATCCAAAGAGATATTCTTTATAAAAGTTAAGAGTCAACCACGCCTACCTAAAACGGCTCGTTCTAACACGCCCCCACATATCTACGTCACGATGTGGGAAGATTTGCATAACGCTGCACAAATGTTCATGCAAAGAAAGAAGGTGTAACTTTTATTCTCGCTGTAGTATTGCTGCTGCTGCCATGTCGTGAAGGCGCTGTGTGTTTCGTTGTGAAAGCGAAACTACTTTGTTTGGTCTTCCAAAAGAGGACGATATCCACTTCATCATGCCTGGAGTTTGGCTTTACGAGGAGATCAAAGCCCAGTGTTTTGTGGTATGGCATTTGCATTGCGAGAGGGTTTGGCTTCACGAATAATTTATTTTATAAGGAAATAATTTCACTCCTTTCAGGGGTGTAACATTTCCGTCACACGCTTGAGGTATTCAGCCAATCACAATGCACTGGATAGCTGGCCAATCAGACCACGCCTCGCTTTTCAGAACGATGAGCTTTGTAAAAATCTACACGTTTCAGAAAGGCGGGGCATAGAGGAGAAACAATAATGTACAGTATGTGGAAAATAATGTGTTTTTTTTAACCTTAAACCACATAAACACATTTCATTACACCAAATACACAAAATAATGTTCTTTTTAGCAACATCATATGACCCCTTTAAGACATATCTTGCATTCGTCTATTTTTGTCTCCAAGGAATAATTTTCCTGGCACACCTGCATTTTTAAAAAAAAATTTTTTTGAGGCCAACTATGTTGCATTAAATGTGCACAGTAGATACACGCACACAAACATATATACAGTGGTTAGTATTCTATATTACTATATTTACTAATATTTTAAAAAGCTTTTAATTTTAGTATTGTTTATATTTTATTATAGTATTCATTATAGTATATTGTTTTAATTAATACTCAAATTAAATACAAAATATGAATAAATACTCTTAACAGTATATAAATCATTTATTTATACACTATTATAGTATACATTTATATTTTGTATTTCATTTTTTAAAGTTTAGGTTTTAGTTTTGTTTTATATTTCTATATAGCCTTAAATGATATTCATATCAGTTTTAGTTTTAAATCTATCAATTTAATTTTAGTACTTTATTTTAATTCTTGAAAAGTTTAGTTATAGTAACAGTGATAAGACTGTTCAAGAATGGCTCTCACAGTGTCCCGTCTCTCCCTACATTACTGTGTATTCCTCTCTGACCTTCAGCTTTCACAGTCTGTTATAAGAATGTGCTGATGCCTGAAACGCTAATTCATAGAACTGTCTTTCTCCTCTGCAGCCAGTAACAGTGCACTGCTGAATGCGGTTAGCGTGCTATGTCTTCTGGGAATGTCATCTTCCCTCCTTAGCCTCCCTCGCTCAGCCCTAGAGGAACAGATGCCTGTGGGGTTCAAGGGTCGGGCGCTGCTGGCCGTGGAGGGGGGCAGCGGTTCGGTGCAGGTGAGTAGAATTACTTTTATCATTGAGTTGAGATGCACTTCATTCTTTTATGTGATTTCAGCATTGATTAGAGACTCGATTGTTTTTATGTTTTTCAGCCCTTTGATACAAAGGAGATTATAGGCTTTGTCATTGGCTCTATATCTTCAGTACTGTATTTATGCTCCAGACTGCCACAGATGTACACTAATGTAAGTCTCACTGCATGTATGTGTTGATAAATTTCACAAAATCTCTCCAGAACATGTTCAGGTAATATGTCATCCCAAAATCAAAAGTCATATTAATTTATTTACATTAATAAATGCATTTTTATATTAATAAGCTACATGTTTTAATAATAAGAACCTATTTTTTAGGGTTATTAAGATAATTTATATTATAACAATTTCTTGACGGTAACTTGTTTTTACTTTACTTTTTTTATTTAAATCGCCTCAGTGTCTTAAAAACTTCTGATTTTAGAAGTTGTCACAAGTTATGGTACATTGTGTGTTTGCAACTTGTGTGTTTGCAATATTGTTCATTGTTGTGTTTGCAACTTTATTTCTAATAATTGCAACAGTATTTTTCATTGTTTGGACATTAGATCTCACAAAAGGGGCCTTGCAGGGCCAAAATCCACTCTTGATTGTACTATCTTTAATTTATGCTGATTAAAATTATTGTAAGTCAGTAATGAGAATCAACTTTGGGAATAATGGAAATGGATTAATAGAAGATTTATGTCATTGAAATGATGTCACTATTCAAAAAATCTTAAATGAATTGTTCTCTCAGTAGTGAAAATTTGCTGGAAATGTACTCAATCTGTTCTACATCTTGAATGGCATGAGGGTGTTTATTTATTGGAATAGATTTGAAGAAATGTAGCATCACTTTCTCACCTGCAGTGAATGGGTGCCGTCAGAATGACAGTCCAAACAGCTGATAAAAACATCACAGTAATCCACACCACTCCAGTCCTTTAATTAATGTCTTAAGTGAAAAGCTGCATGTATTGTAAGAAACAAATCTATCAAGATATTTTAAGCTTAAACTCTTTCTTCTGGCCAGAATATGAGTCCAAAATCCATAACTCTTCCTCCAATGAAAAAGTCCATCTCCTGTTGTCTTCTCACACCAAAATGTTTGTTTATAACTGTATTGGACTGTTTTTCTTGTAAACCGTGCTTGATCTGTGCATATTTCTCTCTTGATTCAGGTGAGACTACTTTTTCACCGGAGAATCAATATTATGGATTGAGGACTCGCATTATAGCTAGAAACAGTGGTTCAAAATGTCTTGGTGATGGATTTGTTTTTGTACAAACACATGGCTCTTCGGTTCAAAAGATATTAACTGATGGACTAGAGTGGTGTGGATTACTTGTGGATTATTGTGAATTATTTCGGCTTTTTGCTTTAACGCTTTTCTATAGATATCCGTGCAGTTCATGATGTACAGCAAATCTCCTCGGGATTCTGCAGATGGAGATGAAGAGACCGCTGCACTTCTCCATAACTGAACAATTCCCATTCCTGCTGTGACTGGATGAAATGCTGGAGATTTTTTTTGAGCTTCACATTTCCACAGCCACAGCTGACTGACAAAGAATCCCATTTTTTTCTCTAATAGTTTTATCTAGATTTTATTTCAATAGGTTTTATACCTAGCAGTATCAGTGTTTAAAGATATTTTTGTCTAATTGGTTCAATATTTGGCACCAAAGGAACTTACTGAAACATGTTTGTACTGTACTTCAGAATTAAGTTTTTTTTTTCTTTTTATACAATGCATGCAATCATGTAATTTTTCTGTTATGTAGAGTGGAATGAATGCTGCATTCGGCAGATCTAGCAGTCTTGACGCAGAACTGTGAAAAGGTTCTGCCTTCAATCCGTGTACTGTAACGATGTTACTAGGCTGTTTTTGTGCAATCTATAGTCAAAAATGTTTTGATGTTGTAAAGATGTTTTTAATACTGTGGCCTTTGATTTG